CAGTGAGACCTTGCCTGTAAATAAACAAATAAATAAATAAACAAATAAGAACGTACACCTTTTGGAAAGAACTCCATGGTGCAGATTTGCAAAGCAGAAAGGCAGTGTTCCTAAAGTGGAGTTTAGTGTTTCATTAGAATATTACACAAATCTATTCATTTTATATTTTCCTCTATTCTATGGAGACTTCCTTCCTTCCTTCCCTTTTTCCTTCCTTCCTTCCCTTTTTCCTTCCTTCCTTTCCTCAGAGCAGATGATCTCTGCAAATAGTTGTTAATTTATTCTGTATTAAGACTATTCAGACTCTTTCAAGCTTGCTGCCGTAGCTTAGGTGGATATTTTTGGATTACAGCCACTTAACAGAGCCTCCTATAATACGAGTTGTGAATAGCTATGAGGCACATGGCAGTGGAAACAGGGAAATGATACATCATAATGCTAATCTCTAAGTCTTGGCAGACTAACATTAACATGAATTTTTAGCTCTTCTTGAGGTCAAAAAATAGCTTCAACATTCACATTTATCTTTAATAAATGTTGAGCACTTAAGCACTGTTAGTGTATGTTATGGAAGAGCTTGTTCGGAATTCTTTCTGAAGGTTTGGACAGGGAATTTATGTCCTCTTAAGGAGAGCATTGCCTATAAATGATGATTTCCAGCCAAAAGCAGTAGAAAGATAACAATAGTGTTATTTGTACTAGAATTTTCTCTAATTTCATGTCGTTAATCCTGTGATTAACAGTCTTACTATGTTCCTAGTTCCTGGGCAGATTTTCCTAATAGCCATGATTATAGAAGTTTGTGATATTTAATGCTTATAAGTGTCAAGGGGCCTAAAAGCTAAGGTGGCTTTCTTACAATTCAAAGATTTTGAGACTTACTCTATAATAGGGTTTTGCATGTGTACATTTAAAACATTTTTGAAAATATATAGTATTTAAGTAGATTTTTTTAAAAAGTGTTATCCTTGTATAGGGGACATGCTAATCTTCTCTGTATCATTCCAATTTCGGTATATGTGCTGCTGAAGTGAGCTTTTTTTTTTTTTTTTAAAGACAGGGTTTCACTCTGCTGTCCATGCTGGAGTGCAGTGGTGTGATCATGGCTCACTATAGCCTCAACCTCCCAGGCTCAAGCAATCCTCCCACTTCAGCCTCCCAAGTATCTAGGCCTACAGGCGCACTCCACCAGGCCTCGCTAATTTTTTTATACTTTAAGTTTTTGTAGAGACAGGGGTCTCACTATGTTGCCCAGGCTGGTTTCAAACTCCTGGGCTCCTAATGATCCTCCTGCTTTGGCCTCCCAAAGTGCTAAGATTACAGATATGAGCAACTGCTCTCAGTGAACTTTCTTAGTGTTCATTCTAAAATATATAATGTTTGAAAAGTCCAAATTAATTAAACACATAAGCTAGAAGATTTGAGATCTGGTTTATCTTTCTGATTTTTTGTGTATTTATTTATTTTTTTACTTTAATTTTTTTAAGTTCTAGGGTACATGTGCAGGATGTGCAGGTTTGTTACATAGGTAAACATGTGCTGTGGTGGTTTGCTGTACCTGTTAACCCATCACCTAGATATTAAGCCCAGCACGTGTTAACTCTTTTCCCTTATGCTCTCCCCGGCACCTCCCTCCCCAAGTAGGCCCCAGTGTATGTTGTTCCCCTCCCTGTGTCCACATGTTCTCATTGTTCAGCTCCTACTTATAAGTGAGAACATGCAGTGTTTAGTTTTCTGTTCCTATTAACGTTAGTTTGCTAAGGATAATGGCTTACAGCTTCATCCATATCCCTGCAAAGGACATGATCTCGTTCCTTTTTATGGCTGCATAGTATTCCATGGATTGTGTATATTATTAGACTTGATCTCACCAATGTTTTAGCTGCCTCAGCTGGAAGGATGTTGATGTAAAATGCAGATAACATGAATAACAACATTTCACATGATAATCGGTTTATCTCTTACAATGTCCAACCTAGTATGGATTCTCTTAACTGTAATCCTTTTAATTAGTATTTAAGTAGATTTAAACAAAAATCCTAGGTATACTTGTGATTTTTTTTGTTTTCCTAATTGTTTAGTTGATAACCAGCATGTTCTTTTTCACCAGTAGCCAAAATAGAACTGTGTGAGAAGCATCCATCTCATTAACAATGAAGACATCAAATGCACTCAGGCCTGTAGATCATCTACCATAGTGCCTGGAACATATAATGTGCTCAATAAATACAAGTACTTCCCCTGCCTTTACAGTGGGATCACTTGCTGAGGTGATTCCGCAGCCTCTGCAGGTGCTGTGAATCTTTAGGAAGAGTGTAAGCGCTTGATGTAGACTTCTGGAGAAGAGCATGTATCAGGCCTGGCAGCCACTAGGCGTTTCTCAGAAGAGAAACTGAGCAAGAAAGCTCCGTGTGGTCTGTACAGAAAGGACTCTCTTTGCCATTCTATTCCACTGTTATAGAACTTCGTTCAGCCCATAACCAGCAGGCAGAGTTAATGAGGCAGAGACTTGGATTCATATCTTTACATAGCTGGTCACCACATTGACTAAATTTCTGCTTGAGTCATAATGTTCTGGATAGACAAAAGAGCGAACAGAGGAGGCAGCTATTACTTCCACTTTAGGAGGAGTTAAAACTAGGGTGGCCATATGTCTGTTTTCCTGAGAAATTACATAGTCAGACTACTGAAGTGGGACAGAGGTATTAGAAAATGAGAAGATGTAACTGGGGAACCTGACCTCGTCTGGAAGTAGACAGAGAAAGCTTTTCTAGAGAAGTGACTGATGAGGAGACCTGAAATATAAGGAAGAAGTACAGTATTGATGAAAATGGGTCATGCTGTCACTTGTCTAGGGTCCCTGAACTTGCCCTTTTTTCCCTGTGCCTAGAAGAGAGGATGTCCCACATCATGTTCTTTTCCCTCTAAACATTACTATTACATGTGAAGTAGAACAGTGTTTTACAAACAGCAGGTAGTAATCCATGGGTTATAAAGTTAACTTAGTGAGTTAGTAATCTGATTTAATATATATAGTAGAAAATAAATATATATTTAATATATATTAGAAAATATCAAGTAGAAAATAAAATATATTTAACGTATATTAGAAAATATCAATAGCGGAAGTAATAGCTGCCCCCTCTATTCGCTCCTTTGCCCCTAGAACATTATGACTCAAGCAGAAATTTAGCACAGTACATTGTACATAGTAAGAAAATATTGAAATAAAATAATATTTATGTGTGCAGGTACTTGGTCACAATATAAACTGTGTTTTTTACTATAGATCATAGTCAAAAACTGTTTTTGGAGACAGGGTCTCCCTCTGTCAAGCGCAGTAGTGCGATCACAGCCCACTAGTCTCAGCCTTTCAGCCTTGCTGGGCTCAGGTGATCTTCCCACCTCAGCTTTCTGAGTTGAGTAGCTGGGGCCACAGGTGCACACCACCACACTTGACTAATTTTTGAATGTTTTGTAGAGATGGGGTTTTTCCATGTTGCCCAGGCTGGTCTCATGAACTTCTGGGCTCAAGCAGTCCACCCGCCTCTGCCTCCCAAAGTGCTGGGTTTACAGGAATGAGCTACTGTGCCCAGCATCAGAAACTTTTACACATTTTGTCTAGGACAAATGGAAGTCAAATGGCACTACTGTCTTGAACTCCTTGTAGTATAGTTACATTTTCAGTTATTTAATTAATATCTGGAGAAAGTGAGAATAAGAAGAATGTGGCTCAAACTGGGAAGGGACTACATTATTCAGTGCTTCCTAGGCCTTTTTACGGATTTGGGGTTTTATCCTAAGATAAATGGAAAGTGATTGAAGTGTTAGCTATTTCTTATTGGGTCACTGTTTGTTTGTTTATTTGTTTGAGACAGAGTCTTGCTCTGTCGCCCAGGCTGGAGTTTAGTGGCGCGATCTCAGCTCACTGCAACCTCGCCCCCCCAGGTTCAAGCAATTCTCATGCCTCAGCCTTCTGAGTAACTGGGATTACAGTCACGCGCCAGCATGCCTGGCTAATTTTTGTATTTTTAGTAAGGATGGGGTTTCACCATGTTGGCCAGGCTGGCCACCATTTTGTTTTTAACTATAATTAAAGATGAAGGGAATTTGGGAACCAGGATTGAATAAAGACTGTCTAATAAATAAATGCTCTATTTCTTTAATAAACATTTATTTTATCTACTGTGTTTTCCATATAAGCTTATAGTATGTACTGTCATCTGCAAGACAGGTTTAGTACCTCATGGCATTACTGTGAACATTAAATGAGTTTATATGTGTCATCTACACATTCAACAGATGTTTTAGTGACTTTTTTTGTTTTACCTCCGCCTCTTTAGGACCACACTCTGAAAAGAGCATGCCTTGTTTCAATGATTGTTTTAGTCATACAATTCCCAGAATAAATAAAATACGCTCAGAAAGAATTATAGCTAATTTAGGCCAGGCATGGTGGCCCACACCTGTAATCCCAGCACTTTGGGAGACCAAGGTGGAAAGAACACTTAGGGTTTGAAACCAGCCTGGGCAACACAGGGAGACCTTGTCTCCACAGAAAATGGAGTGCGTGCCTATAGTCTCAGCTGCTTGGGATGCTAAGGCGAGAGGCTCACTTGAGCCCAGGAATTGAGCTGTAGTGAGCCATGATTGCACAACTGCACTCCAGCCTGGGTGACAGAGCAAGACCCAGTCTAAAATAAATTTAAAAAAAAAATGAATTGTAGCTAATTCGGTATTTCTGTTGTTGAAAAGAAAGTGGCCACTATTCTCAGGCTATTTCCACAGGAAAATATGATGTTGACATAATTTTGAAATGGTGAAATTATATCAGAATTTTAAAATAAATCAACATGTAGTTCTTCCATCTTTTCTTCCCCTGTCCTGAAACATAATATTATTTGTTTGGCCATATTGTTGCTTTGTGGTTAGAAAAATGTCAGTGTGGCAAGTGAAGTAACATTTCCACGTATCTCTATTAATTTCTCTCTTCCCTTTAGATTTCACCACCCAATCCTCAGTCCTTTGGAAAGCAGTTTCCAGCTGGAAGTTGACGTCCTGTGTCATCTCCTGAAAGCCCAGGCCCAGGTCTCAGAGTGGAAGTTCCTCCCATCTCTGGTTAATTTACACAGTGCGCACACCAAGCTGCAGACCTGGGGCCAGATCTTTGAGAAACAGCGGGAGACCAAGAAACATCTGTTTGGAGGGCAGTCTCAGAAGGCCGTGCAGCCTCCACACCTTTTCCTTTGGCTGATGAAACTCAAAAACATGCTTCTTGCCAAGTTTAGCTTTTACTTTCATGAGGCTCTGAGCCGACAAACTACTGCTTCAGAAATGAAAACGTTGACAGCAAAAGCTAACCCAGACTTTTTTGGAAAGATTTCCAGCTTCATCAGGAAATATGATGCTGCCAATGTGTCCTTAATTTTTGACAACAGGGGTTCTGAGAGTTTTCAGGGTCATGGTTATCACCACCCCCATTCCTACAGAGAGGCCCCCAAGGGTGTGGACCAGTATCCAGCTGTAGTGTCTCTGCCCAGCGACAGGCCAGTCATGCACTGGCCCAATGTCATCATGATCATGACGGACCGCACATCTGATCTGAACAGCTTGGAGAAAGTGGTCCACTTCTATGACGACAAAGTTCAGAGTACCTACTTCCTAACCCGCCCGGAACCTCACTTTACCATTGTTGTCATTTTTGAGTCAAAGAAATCTGAGAGAGACTCCCACTTTATTTCCTTCCTCAATGAGCTCTCACTTGCCCTTAAGAACCCCAAAGTGTTTGCAAGTCTGAAACCTGGATCCAAAGGTTAGCAGGTGATTTGTGTGGAGGGGTTTCAAGACTAGAAACTGTTCTTAATTACCCTAATGATCTACAGTGGTCTGTGATTAGAGTTTATGTCCACTCATGCCTCTTTCAGAACTAAATTAAAGACAGATCCTTCCTGTGTTGCACACTTTATAAGCAATTAAGGCCAGTTGAGTTGAGTATCCAAAGAATAATCTAGGAAGTGGTCATGGGCTACCATGTATCTCCATGGTACAGCAAAGTAGTTGCAGTATTTCCCCCTATTTTCTTATATTTCTTGTAGATTGAATATTTATTGGGCTTTTTTCCCCCCATATGTTTTTCTGTTGTTCTAAACGTGTTCTACTGCAATTCCGGACACCCTCTCTGTTTCCCTCCTTGGAAGAGTAATAGGGGTGAGATACTAAATGGCCTTTTTAGAATTAAGGACTGTATGTGTTCTGTCTCATAAATTAGCAGATGAATATGGAGTTAGTAGTTTTATGATTCTGATCTACAAATTAACATTTATGATGCCAAAATGAGGGTCTTGGTAAGAAATTTCTATCAGTTATTGAAACTGAAGGTGAATCAGATTGGTAGCATAACGTAAGTAAGATTTTAACAGTTCAGAAGATCCTCATGGCAGCTTTAATAGCCATAGGTTCTTTTGGGGTGATGTATACACCTAACTGCATTTGTTTTGACTTCTTTAATGTTTGAATGTTTCACTCAGTTTTAAAGTCAGCATAAGCCATCATGTGGGCTTTCTTCATTCTTCAGCATATTACCCGCTTGGCTTTCTGTTTATCACTTTTCTGCTGAAATGTACATGTTTGGCTCTAGTCCTGGGTTATTTTTAGGCTTAAAAGCATGCAGTTGGTTTTTCAGCTGCTTTTAGATACTCATGCAACATAGCCTACTTTTATAAAATCACAATGAAGGTCTTCATACCCTGCACCTGCTAAAAATCAGTTGTGCGCCTGAAAGACCTTTTCATAGTTGAGTAATCACCTCAGTACTTAAGTACTTCTGAACTTGGGTTTCATGCCTGCCCCCCACAAATTGTGTTTAGAAGCAGCACTGCATCTTAGCACGTGCTGCCTTATCCCTTTCCTTCAGCAGGTGTTCATGGGAAGTAGGTGGATCAGTGAAGGCATAATGGGCTGTGGAGACCTTCACTTCTAGATTATTGATTCAAAATAAAAAGAAGCCACAAAGAGTAATTGAGTTGTTACTGGTTTGATGGTTCCTTCAAAGCCTGTGTGAAATGTAATGGTCACATTCATCTTTTTTCTCATGATTGTATGGAGCCACTGTTTTACTGGGTGTCCACAGCAGGTTTGCCGGCAACATCAGCAGAGACCAGAGAACTCCTCAGAGTCCATGTAGGAAGCCTCTCCACCTTGGGTGGACTGCCTGGCAGGATAAAGAACCGGCCAGGTACGGTGGTGCATGCCTGTAATCCCAGTACTTTGGGAGGCTGAGATGCGCAGATCACGTGAGGTCAGGAGTTCGAGATCAGCCTGGCCAACATGGTGAAACCCCCTCTCTACTAAAAATACAAAAATTGGCCGCGAGTGTGGTGGCGGGCAACTGTAATCCCAGTTACTATGGGGGCTGAAGCAGGAGAATCGCTTGAACCTGGGAGGCAGAGGATGCAGTGAGCTGAGATTGTGCAACTGCACTCCAGCCTAGGTGAAGGAGTGAGACCTGTCTCAAAAAAAAAAAAAGAAGAGGAACTAAGAAACTCTGGCCTATTTTTTATTTTCTGGGAAGAACATGTGTTTTTCCTTTTTTTAAGACAGGGTCTTGTTCTGTTGTCCAGGCTGGAGTACAGCGGCACAATCATGGCTCACTGCAGCCTCACCCTCCTGGGCTCAAGTGATCCTCCCACATCAGCCTCCTAAGTAGCTGGGATTACAGCATGAGCCATCACACCTGGGTCTCACTATGTTGCTCAGGCTGGTCTCAAACTCCTTGGCTCACACGAGGTTCCCACCTCGGCCTCCCAAAGCACTGGAATTATAAGCATACACCACTGCACCTGGCCTCCTTTCTTTTTCTTTAAAAATGGTCATAAGCTTTGTAAAAAGCCAGTTTGCTTTAAATAGAAAGTAGTGATTTACCTCTGCATTTTATTCACTCAGGTTCTATAAAAAAATCTCAGCAGATTCTATAACATTGATCTTACCTAAGAAATTGAAAGCAATTGGAGCTAAAAAGTCAAATCACTTTTCCTCTCTTTTGTGTTTTGCCAAGAAACTAAAAAATATTCCTTGGTATGCGTGTATTTTTTTCATTTTTTTCCTCTTAGATTAAACCACCATTAGCCTTAATGACACAGTCCCCCAAATACCTGGAAGAATATATGCTTCAGTGGAACCCAGAGATAGGTGTATGTAAAGCATATATATGCTATTTAAATAACCAGTCCTCACCTGAACATACTTGAATTGTATGTCTATCTTTAAGCATAAACACAAAAAGAATTTCAAAGAACAGAAGACAGATGTGAATATTAAGAAAATCTAAGACTATATATATTTATGAATTACTGTGCAGCTGTCATAGACTTACTGGAGCAGTTTTTGAAGATTCAATATTGATACTTAAATTATTTCTTAAGCCTCCAATAAAGTTTTCTAATTATAAAAAAAACCCACATAATTTGGTTCAAGTCAAGAGACAAAGTCATTTTACTCTAAGATTTATTCTCTAAATACAGTAATGAGATCTGTAAAGTCTGTGTTTTGCTAATTAAAAGAGTAAATCTGCATATTTTCTGCAGACTGCTTTCTTTGAATTTGTTTCTAAACCATAACTTGATAAGTTTTTATGGGTAACTGGGAGTTTGGTCAACACCAAGTTTGCCAAGGGGTTCCATCCAGGAGTATTTCATTTTAGGATGCTGTTTGGACACAGGGTTTGTAACTTTGTTCTCTCTGGGTCCTACCTGATCTCTGGCTGTGTCATTTCAGGGAGTGTGTGAAAATAAAGCCCAATTCTTAACCAAGAAGCCAATACCCTTAATATAATTGCTTTGGATATTTGGACATATTGGGGGAAATATTTCCAAATACTTTTTTTTTCTGTCGCCCAGGCTTGAGTACAGTGGCATGATCATAGCTCTCTGCAGCTTTGAACTCCTAGGCTCAATGATCCTCTTGCCTCAGCCTCCCAAGTAGCTAGGACCATGCCTGGCTAATTTAAAAAATATATTTTAGAGATGGGGTCGTACTCTGTTGCTCAGGGTGGTCTCGAAATACTGGGCTCAAGTGTTCCTCCCTCTTTAGCCTGCCAAGTGGGAATACAGGTGTGAGCCACTGTGTCCAGCAGAAAATGTACTTTCTAGAAAGAAAATAATTGATACTTCACTACATTCTCAGGGAATTCCCCCAGGTGATCTTTAAAATACGTCTACCCTTTTGATCTAGAAGCAGACTCGCGATTTTGTTCATTTGGCAAATCAGCCTCTGAGCTCAACTTCCTTGTCTGTAAAATGGAACTACGGAAATGTGGGTTGCCTTTTCAAAGGGTAGTGTTAGGATGGAACGAGATCATGTGTGTAAAAAAGGCTTTGGAAACTCTGGAATTTGAAGGCTATATAAATAAAAGATGGACCACTCTTTTCTTAAATTCGGCACCTTTCCTGTTCTTTTCTTTCTCTTCAATTCTGTGGCAAACCTGTACCTAGTTATTATGTTTGAAAGAGAAGTGGTTTAGAAGAGGAGGCAGATAAATGCCTAACCAACCTACCCACTCTTCCTATTTTAGAATCTTTGTGGTTTTTTGTTTCCAAATTTTTATGGTTGGTTGATAGCATTTTAGTTCTTCTATATTATGATTTCTTTTTTTTCTCTTGGTTACTCTATCAATTACTAAGCGAGGTGTTTTAAAATCTCCAACACTGCTTGTGGATTTGTGATTTTCTTCCTTTACTTCTGTCAGTTTTTCCATCCTGTATTTTGGAGCCCTGTCATTAGGCCCATATACATTTATAGTTTTTCCTTCACTTGTAGTCACCATTTTATCTTTAAGAAGTTTCCTGCTTATCTCCACTGCTACTGCTTACTCCAAAGTCCATTTTGCCCATGTTTTTATCGCCCTTCCAACTTTCTTATGCTTATTGTTTGTGGTGTGTGTGTGTGTGTTTTCCATATTCTCATTTTTAACTTACTTATTTTTATATCTTTGTATTTGAAGTATCTACAGACAGAACTAAGGAGATAAGACAGATTAAAAAGAGCAACAATCTCTGCCTTTTGATGGGAATGTTTAGTTTATTTCTCCTGTAAGGTTTTTACAGTCAGGATTTTGAAGATGGTATCCTTGAACTGTCACTTAACATGTTTTTCATCCTTTTTCCCCTTTTATATTGGAAGTTAGAGCAAGATGTTTAATCAGATTCAGCTTTTCTTTGTGTAGTGGTGTTGCATATTTTATTAGGAAGCAGCTAATAACTGGCATTGCCTAGATAGACTGTATCATTAGAGGTTATAAACTGGTAATATTCTAATTGTTATTCCTTTTCTCATTAGCCAGAATACACCTACAAAGAGAAATTCACCTCCAACTATTTAGTACCTTGAAGTACAGTTCATATGGAATGGATGGATAAATCCTTGATTCTTTTGCTTTTCTTTAATTTATTTATTTATTTATTTATTTATTTATTTATTTATTGGGATGGAGTTTTGTTCGCTCTTGTTGCCCAGGCTGGAGTGCAATGGCACGATCTCAGGTCACCACAATCTCCGCTTCCAGGATTCAAGTGATTCTCCTGCCTCAGCCTCCTGAGTAGCTGGGACTACAGGAACGTGCCACCACACCCAGCTAATTTTTGTATTTTTGGTAGAGTTGGGGTTTCACTATGTTGGCCAGGATGGTCTCGATCTCTTGACCTCATGATCTGCTCGCCTCAGCCTCCCAAAGTGCTGGGATTACAGGCGTGATCCACCGCCCCCGGCCTTTATTTATTTTTACTAGTTCTTAACATATTGAGTTAGTTCCTTAGCATC